AGTGCTGTGAAGGATGACCTGCAACCTTCTGACCTGCAACCTTCCCTCCATGTGTTTCCCTTCTTTTCATCTGTCTACTCTCTCACTTCACTCCCTAAAGATTTAAAACCCTGAAAAAATAATATATTGATTAACTGAGCTCAGGTCATAGCTGGCCCATCTGACCTGAGGCAGAAAGGTGGATGACCTGATTTCTGTGAGAGACAGTTTCCCAAAAGGAAATCTGGTGAAATGGATGTTGGCCAGACAGTATTAACTAAACCCATTGAAAAGAAACAAAATGTTTTGTAGAAAAGGAAGGGATTTCAGCAGAGTTACACTCTCTTTTGGAACAAATTCCAAGTGTGGATACACCAGTTATTGCTCAAGGATGAATAAAAAAGGGGAATACACTTGAACTTACAAATAACAATAAAAAAAACACACAACTAAAGGGTAATAAAAAACATAGTTAAAACCAAGCATTTAAAGCCAGAACAGAACAGACTCTATACCAGAGAGAAGCAAGCTTGAGAGGGGTGGGGAGGAACTCTCGAGAAAAAAAAACTCCCCAAAGCAGTGAATATAACACATTAAAAAAACAACAACAACAACATGTGCATAAAAGAGATTAGAGACTCAATACTAGATAACTGAATTCTAAAACAAATGAAATAAAAACATTAATTAATTAGCAAGAGCAGAAAACATAAGCTGGAGAAATGTTTGAACTGGTAGATGGAAAATTTAGTAAGTTATTTATACCTACATAACTGGTGAAAATTTAGAATTTTATGGATAAAATTTTTAAAATCCTAAAAACATCTGACCAGAAGGGCAAAAGGTGATCTTCATAGAAACATTACATAAGAAAGCCTTTTCTTAAAGATAGAAAACATAAAATGAGGCACAGAGTGGTTAACTTCCCCAAAGTCACACAGTAGATGGGAGTTTGCCCTATTTCAACACGTGCAGCCTAGCTCCAGTACCCAGCCATTTGAACTACCTCTCTAGAGTGTCCTTAAAGTAAAAAGAGCAGCACAGATCAGGCAAATCCAAACAAAAAGAATAAAAATTGTATAGTCCGCACTTTCTGACCATAAGATATGAAAAGTAGTTTTTAAATCTAAAGTATAACTGGGGGGAAAAATTGTACTTGGAAATTAAAAATTATTATCCTAACATATTCAAATCAAGGAAAAACAATAAATACAATTATATAACATTTTATTAAAATACTAGAGGCCTGGTGCACAAAATTCGTCCACTCGGTGGTGGGGGTCCCCTCAGCCTGGTCTGCACCTTCTCACAGTCCGGGAGCCCTCAGGGGATGTCCGACTGCTGGCTTAGACCCCCTCCTGTACGGGTCTAAGCCGGCAGTCAGACATCCTTAGTGCTGTTGGAGAGGCAGGAGAGGCTCCCGCCACCGCTGTTATGCTCGCCAGTCATGAACCCGGCTTCTGGCTGAGTGGCACTCCCCCTGTGGGAGTGCATTGACCACAAGGGGGCAGCTCCTGCATTGAGCATCTGCCCCCTGGTGGTCAGTGCACATCATAGAGACTGGTCATTCCGCCGTTCAGTGGATTTGCATATTAGCCTTTTATTATCTATACTGATAATAGCCTACGGCCTTCACAACCAGGATGGATGACCAAACAGTGGGCCCCTGGCCTCCGAGGCATGCAGGTGGGAAGGGTCTGTGGGCTCTGGGGCTCTGGGGCATGGTGGGCAGGAGAGATCTGTGGGCCCCGGGCCGCCGAGGCACGCAGGCAGGAAGGGTCTGTGGGCTCTGGGCATCTGAGGCGTAGCGGCAGCGCTGGCAAGAAGGGTCTTTAGCCCTGGGCCGCCGAGGCACATAGGCAGGAAGGGTCTGTGGACTCTGGGCCTCCGAAGCGTGGTGGTGTGAGCCCTGCGCATCCAAGGCGCTGCGGCGGCGGGCGAGAAGGGTCTTTTACCCCAGGCTGCCAAGGCACACAGGCGGGAAGGGTCTGTGGGCTCTGGGCCTCTGGGGTGTGGCGGCAGGAGAGATCTGTGGGCTCTGGGCTGCTGGGGCGTGATGGCAGCAAGAACTGTCTGTGAGCCTTGGGCCGCCAGGTTGCTGCGGAACTCTGGGTCTCATGCTTTCAGGGTGTGGCCAGACTTCAAACTGGACTGTGACAAGAGGGAGGAGGGAGCCCCATTCCTCGCAGAATCCACTGTTGGAAGGAGGGAGCCTGCCTGCCTGATCGCCCCTAATCACTCTACCTGCCTGCCTGCCTGCCCGAGGGTTCCCAGATTGCAAGAGGGTGCAGGCCAAGCTGAGGGAACCCCCCCCCCTGCATGAATTTCTCGTGCACTGGGCCTCTAGTATAGGATATAATAAAAAAAAATTTAAAAGCTAGTTAGAGCAGTACTAAAAGGCAAATCCTTAAAATAAATGAAAGGGCCCATTTAGCATTAGTAAAAGCAGGTAGAATGAATTAGTAAAAATAAAAGCAGAAAAGTCAAGGGTAAAAACCAGCAACATATACATAGTTCTTTGGGAGTGAGAGGGGGTGCAAAAACCAACCAAAAAAGTAAAAGCTTTAGCCAAATCTACTGAAGATGAAGAAAATATTCAGCTTCCTGAAAGTACTTTAAAAAAACTATAGATGTGATAAATAAAATCTTGCAATCTAAACACTTTGAGTAAAATCTCTATAAAATTTTAATTTAAAAAAATATGAAGTATTATATGTATTCACAGAGTAATGTTAGACCTAAACAGACAAAAAAATATTTTTAATTTTAAAATTCAAAAGAATTACCTATAAAACAAACACCAGTTCCACAGGGTTTTATAGAGCAGTTCTTAATATAAAAGTTTAAAAACTAGCCGTAACCTGTTTGGCTCAATGGATAGAGCGTCGGCCTGCGGACTGAAGGGTCCTGGGTTCGATTCCGGTCAGGGGCATGTGCCTTGGTTGCGGGCATATCCCCAGTGGGAGGTGTGCAGGAGGCGGCTGGTCGATGTTTCTCTCTCATCGATGTTTCTAACTCTCTATCCCTCTCCCTTCCTCTCTGTAAAAAATCAATAAAATATATTTTTTAAAAAAAGTTTAAAAACTAGTAGGTAGCTCAATTTAAACTAAGAATTCTGTTTTACTCTGTGTGTGTTATTGTATATGTGTGTGTGTGAAAAGAGAGAGTGAGAGAGAGAGAGAGAATCTAAATTGCTGCTAACATTTCAATTTAAAGTCAAGATATTTTACATAACATTTTGGAATTCTAAGTTGTCTTGAATAATTGGAGGAGTATGCTGATCACTCTGGCTCCCATGAACTGCCATTGTGGCTGAAGTGGAAGAATGGCTAGCCCCTTTGGGTGGGGCAGCTACTCTTGGTTCATCCCATCACCCCCAAAGTCCATAGCCTTCATTTATGCCACCTTTCTGGCCAATCTTATAAGCATTTTAACTGTTCTACTGGGCGGGGAGGGGGGGGGGGCGGTAACTCCAATGTCTTGTGATGGATAAACAGTTCTTCCCAAATTACCTTTAAATGTTTATATCAATTTTCATCAAAATCCTTTTTTTTTTTAATACGGTAGGAAGACTATGAAACATCATAATACTGCAACAATTACAGTCAAACAGAAAAGTCCAGGAAACAGGTCAGAAATTCCAGAAATCAATGCATATTTAAATACAATAAAGACAGCACTTCAAATCAGTAAAAAGAATGGACTATTTAAGTCTTTGAGAAGCAGCACAGCATGAAAGGGAACAGCCTATAGGACTGGACAGACTGGACGGAACAGCATACCAGTGCAGCACGTCCCAGCCTGTGACCCTGAAAGACCAGTGAGTGCTTTATTTCTAAAATGTGGGTAGTCACTGTACCTATTTCATAGGATTGTGAGGATTATCAGTTACCATTTATAAACTACTTATAACAGGGACTAGTACAGTAAGTGCTCTAATGTGATAGTAAATAGATAAAAGAAAGCAATACATACTAAAATAATCCTTAAACTCCAGGGAACAGAGGGAGGGAAATATGGTGAACAGAACCTCCCATCATACCACATGAAGAAAATAAATTTCAGGATTTTAAAAAGTGAATGGTAAAAAAATGAAACTAGAGAAAAGAGGATTCTATCTGATTTCTAGACTAGAGAATACCTTTTAAGATGTGACAAAGTAAATATCAAGAAAACAGATTAATCAATTTGACTATATAAAAATGTTAAAAGTCTGTATATTACTTGTATGCATGTATGCATAACCCATGGACACAGACAATGGGATGGTGAGGGCCTGGTGGGGTGCGGGGGGAGGGGGAGAACGGGAATGGACTGGAAGAGGTTAATGGAGGAAGAAGGTGGTCCTATGTAATACTTTCAATAATAAAAGATTTTTTTAAAATAAAAATTTTAAAAATAGAATTAAGAAACACGAGGATAAATGAGAGTTGATATGTGTATGTGTGCATATGTATATGAACGTAATTACAAATTAGTAAGAAAAAATTACACGATCAAGCAATTTATAATGCTTTGCCTATATATGAGAAATATGCAATATTTTCACTCATGAAAAATATAAATTAAAATTATATTTTTCAACTATCAAATTGGTCAAGGTTTTAGAGAAAAAAGTTGTATTGTTGGTGAACAGGCAGAGAAATTGGTACACTATGATATAAGATTGAAGAATAAAGAATACATTGAAACAACCTTTCCGGGGCCCCTATGATTATATGCTTTAAAAAAACCTTTAAAATATCAAGCCCCTTTAACCTAGTAATTCCATTGCTAGGACAAAGTTAGAACATAAGAATTTCAATGGAAAAGTTTCAAGTCACTTTTTCAGAAATGAACCAGAATCAAGGAAAAAACATATGAAAAAATATTTTAAGTTTCAGATATAAAGTTAAGAATTTTCAACTTCTAAAAATTCAACACTCAAAAAAAATAAAACTAAAAATTCAACACTCATTTCACACTCACTATTCAATTAATGTTTAATTAATTTAATTAACTTAAAAAAAATAAGTACAAACCTTTTAACAGCATCCTTCTTTTGAATATCTATAGTATCCCACCACTTTGAAAGGTAAGAGATCTCAGACCATATAAATTTCCTCCGTGAGTCTTCCTTCAGCTTGATGACCATGTTATTAAAAATATACTGAGTCTTCTCTCTAAAGTAGTCATCAAAAGTCTTCAACCAACCTAAATCAAGACACAAATATACCACAAATGTCTGGTTTATGTCTGATTTCAACTCAGTAATATTCCATTGCACTACCTTTGGATACCCTTGGATGTTTCAATCATATAAAGACATATATAATAATTTAAGAAATGTTCTGAATTAATGAAATTATATTTGAATAAACATGAGACTCAAACAATCATTAAAATTTAAACTATAAAAATACTCTGAAAACTGCACAAGATCAGATACAAATGAGAAAAATGATCTCAGGCCAAAAAGCATTTGTTTAAACTTAACAATTATAGTATCTATTTATAATTTCTCTCGAATTGAAGGGATTTTCTTATTTTAAAAATGTGAACAGTGTTAAATTGGCATTATTGTTCTCATAGTATGGGATGAAATTTTTATCCTCTCATGGCACAACTAAAATTCTCCACTCATTAAAAAAGTTAAACTAAGAAAAAGAAAAGCAGAAGTACAAACAGTATTTAAAACCAGCAGCAGAGCAATGAGATAATCACAACATTTTTATGAATATTGAGAAGTAGAATTCTGCCAAAAATAGGCATTAGTTCCCAAAGGCTGTTCATATTCCATTTATGGTAGAACAAATTGACATTAATAAAACAACAAATGTTTACACATCTATGTAAAGTTTTCTCAAAAGAGAATTATAAATGTTGATAACTTATTTCTCTGCCTTTTCCTACTATTTCCCATATATCCAGAGAATTTTATCTAAAGACATGTGCAATCTATAATAATAAAGCTCAATATGCTAATTAGACTGGGTGTCCTTCCAGATGAAGCCACAGCAGCAGGAGCTGAGGCATAGGTGGTTAGGGGCGATCAGGCAGGCAAGCAGTTAGGGACAATCAGGCAGGCAGGCAGTGTGGTAGGGGAGATCAGGCAGGCAGGTGAGCAGTTAGGGGCGATCAGGCAGACAGGTGAGCAGTTAGAGGCGATCAGGCAAGCAGGCAAGTGGTTAGGGGCGATCAGGCAGGCAGGCAGAATGGTTAGGGGTGATCAAGCAGGCAGGCAGAGTGGTTAGGGGCAATCAGGCAGGCAGGCAGGTGAGTGGTTAGGAGTCAGCAGTCCTGGATTGCAAGAGGGATGTCTGAGATTGCGAGAGGGCGCAGGCTGGGCTGAGGAACCTCCCACCCTGAGTGTACGAATTTCGTGCACCGGGCCTCTAGTTTGAGTATAAAGAAACATTTTTAACAAGATCCATAGGTCCCAACATAGCCCCACCTGGCAGAGTACTAAAGCAACATGATGAGTGACTGAGGCAAAAAATGTACAGAGCCACCAATTCCACCTACTGGCAATATGGGCCCTCTGGAAAATAACCTCTTATCTAGGAAATTTTATGGGCGGGGAGGGATGTCTATATATCTAGGTTGAACTACTGCTCTATACTTTCAAGTCTCAAACACGTGGGAAACTAAAGTATAAGGACTCCAACTATTTCTTCTGTCTCTATTTAAGTTACTATTCAATGTATTCTATATTTGCTGGCACAAAATAAAAGCCTGCTATGGCAGAGAAGACAATACAACTGTTTTGACAATGCAAATATGAGCTTCTGAAAAGGGCACGGCCACTGTGACTATATTTCTCCCTTTTGTTTTAACTAAAATCTATTCATTCATTATATGGTTATTTACTGAACACCTACAAAGTGATAGGTCTGAAGCTAGGAGCCAAGGAGGAATACATTGTAAACTATTCCTTATAAGACTTTCTTGATATAGGGCCGTGGTTGGCAAACTGCGGCTCACGAGACACATGCGGCTCTTTAGCCCCTTGAGTGTGGCTCTTCCTAAGCCTTAGGAGTACCCTAATTAAGTTAATAACAATGTACCTACCTAAATAGTTTAAGTTTAAAAAATTTGGCTCTCAAAAGAAATTTCAATCGTTGTACTGTTGATATTTGGCTCTGCTGACTAATGAGTTTGCCGACCACTGATCTAGGGCATTTTTAAGCTGGTTTATCAACAAATAATGCTACCTGGATAATTCAACTTCTCCATGTTTAAACTAAAATCACGTATTTGTTAAAAAAAAAACAAAAATAAAAAACCTCAATATGTTCAAACCTGAGCCTGGCATATAATATAAATACTAGCTGCTATTATTATTAGCTTAATTATCATCATAAGTCTTTAATTGCCCCTTAATTATCATCATAAGTCTTTAATTGTCTCTATAATCAAAGCAGTTAAAAGAAGTACTAAATTATATTTCTAACATCTAATTTTTTAAAATATGCAATTTATTTAAAACATTTAAATAAGCTGCTTCACATCTTAAACATATCATGAACAAAATGTTTAAACAAAACAAAATCTTAAACAAAATTAGAATTCATTCTATGCCCTTATTAGGGGCTGAATTTTGAATTGTGTCCTCTCAAAATTCATATGATGATGTCCTAACATCAGTACTTCAGAATGTGACTGTATTTAGAGATAGAGTCTTTAAAGAGGTAATTAAGTTAAAATGAGGTCATGTGAGTGAACTCTAATCCAGTATGTCCTTATAAGGAAAGGCGATATAACACAGACACACACAGAGGGAAAGCCATATGAAGGCACTGGGGGAAGAGGGCCATCTACAAGCCAAGATGAAAGGCCCTCAGAAGAAACCAACACTGCCTTAATTTTGGACTTCTAGTCTCCAGAAATGTTAGGAAATAAGTTTCGGTTGTTTAAGTCTTCCAGTCAGTAGTATTTTATGAATGGCAGCCCTAACAAACTAATACAGCACTAGAAAAAATTAGAGTTGTTACCAACCAAAAAATAAAAATCACAATGTGGGGAAAATTTATTTTAGCAAATACCATCATAATATTTAATATATATCTATTTCCGTATTGCAAGACTGAATCAAAAGCAAATGTATGTGGGTAACATCTACTTCTGTACCATACTATTATTACATGCTATTATTACATATGTGCAGTAAGGACCATGTAAATTATTTAACAGGTTCTTTTAGAATTTTTTTTTTTAAACATCACACATACCTTTCACCTAAATTTTAAGAAAGGTAAAAACTAATCTCTAATTATTTGGTTATTAACTCAATTAAAGAAAAGTACTATGAACAGTGGAATGCCTCCAAAATTAATTTAGTAAGAAAATTCTAGTAATCTAGCATAAAAGGCAAATTTAGAATAGTCTTTATAAAGATTAATAAGTAAAAGGTTTTTAAAGTACAAATACTTATTTTCATCAGTTATACTTTGTTATGAACTAAGACCATTTCAAAGAACAGTTTATCATGAGTTTTCACAAAAGAATCACAGTGACTGATTAATCCATTTTGCCTTCAACACTTCATTTGCCCTTCAACAATCATTCTGAAAATATGTCAAAGACATTTCAGTGAGCCAAAATACAAGCTCGGAGATGTCAAATTAAAAGCCTTCCATAAAACTTATCTATAACAGAGACTAATATCACAACAATATAGCACAATTAATGAAGACTGAACTGAAAGATAGCCTCTTGCAGCATTCAATATTGAGTAATGTAACAGTAGATTAGTTTTTAGTGCTCTTATACAATAGAGTAATCAAGTATTCCCTTTTACACTGAATTGGCTCTTTCTTTTTCTAAATTACTGTAAAACTACAATTGTATATTATCATGAGCCCAATCAGAAAGATAGTATTTTATAAAAAGTTCTATGGGATAAATTTTTGTGACATAACATTATAGTCTTACCTCTAGATTTAATCATTTTAGGACACTGAAGTTGCAAACTGATTTACTTAAGTGGTCAATTCATAGCCTTTTTCTTTCCCTTGAATGCACTTGGAAATTTAACCATGGCTAGCACAGCATGAATACCTTCCCATTTAGTCTTTTGCACCCTAACAACACTATCATCCATAAAACGGCTTATTGCTATTTTAAATAAATGGGGAAATATTTAAAACAAAGAATAATTAGAAGTTCTATAAAGCAGGTATAATTCCAAATTTAATATTATTTTATCACAAAAAAATTAAGTTCTAAAATATAGAATAAAGTTGAAAACTCTATTGCTTGTTTTTAATGTGAATAAACAAACACTTATTAATTGCTCACTGAAAAAGCACAATTTTTAAAAAATTTGGACTCTTGATCTAGCTTCAAAGTCTAGAGACTATGTAGAGATCTGATCCTCTTAAGGAACACTTAGTTTTATTTGGTTCATGGGCATACACAGTATCACTCTTAGGATCTAGGCAAGAGTGCCCCACTCTGAGTTCTGGACTTTGGAGGGATCTCCCAATTCATTCTCTGAAAACATCTTTTTCCACAAGATAAATCCACAGGGCAAAGAACGTGCCCATTCAGAGCCTGCCCTGCCATAATGAGTACCAGGGCCCAGGAATCTGTATCTAAATAACCCTAAGCAGGCTTCTAGAGTCTCCCTGTCTAGGCAGTCAACCTTGCAGGTAATAACTTCCCCAGACCGAGCAGTGGCCAAGGGGCTGCCGTTTGTAGGGTGTGGAAAGAGTGTTAGTATCTCTGCAAGAAGGGGCCCTCCTAGTTTTCGAGGGCCAGTCTAGGGGGAGAGGGTTTGGGCTGCCCCACACACAGGCTGACTCCCCCACACACCACCACATTCCTGTGGGGAACTGGAACCCCAGCAATCTAAACCTGCACTTGGCCTTCTAGATCACTGAGCTACTTCCCAAGGCAGGTGGAAAGGACCTATTAAATTTGCAATGTATTTGTTTGATTTATAATTATTAAATGTTTAGACATAGAGTCTGAGGGTCTCCATGTACTTTCTGCCTCAGGTCCTGTAAATATTAAATGCAGGCCTTGGAAATATGCCAACCTAAACTTCAAATAAGTTAATTCTCATGAATCTAGCACCTGGTTCAAAGTCTACAACAGCAAGAGTTCAATAAGCACTTGATAGATGAATGATGATGTATGGCCAAAGGGACTGAAAAAAAGGTATGTGGAATATGAATGCAAATTTATTACTGCAACTAGAAAGGAAACCA